GTATACATATATATGTATGTATACATATATATGTATGTATACATATATATGTATGTATACATATATATGTATGTATACATATATATGTATGTATACATATATATGTATGTATGTATGTCTGTCTGTATGTATACAAATTTAGCAGAAAGACACTGAGTCAGAGAAATTGCCAACATATATACACCTGCCTGTGGGTGACGTGTATATAAAACTTAAAGATAAGATTATAGTGTGCAGCATCAGACAGCATCTATCAACCAGGTATAGTATGATGCCTTGGCATGTTCAATAGCCAGCAAGAATTTCAGTTACCAGCCAAAATCGGCACCACATGCACACCAGAGGAAGTGGAAAGATAACTTGGCTACAGATGTGATTCAGACAGATTCAAATAATTGCACATGAAGAATGGAGTTCGACATATATAACAGAATGATTGTTGCTTGTGGGACGACATACCTTCAGCGAGATACAAGAGTAAATGTAATTACTGACAAGTACGACTATGAATACTTGGATGGGGAAGCTAAGCCTGTGAAACATATACCCCATTATAGTGCATCCCCAAAGAGTTTTAGTAACTCAAAGAGAGCAGGGCATCGTTAATTCATAGGCACTTGAAATTCGTTATAGAACTAACACCACATAAACAGATATAACAAGTGTCTAGACACTGCCTTTACTCAAGGAAAAAAGAACTCCATATGCACCATAATTTGTTTCTCATATACACTTGTATCTGAGAAGATGCTAACGAGCTTGCAAAAAAGTGCAACCTACATAAATTTGAAACACTCTGCTACATGAATTATATTTAAAATTCAAGTCCTTAAGATCATTGGAATGGCTAGCACTTGATTTAACATTGTAAAAGAGGCCAGAAGTATTATATAAATTAACAGAAACGTATGGATAATAAAAACAGGATTGGCACAGATAGTCTATCATCTAATGAAGTTAACTTTAGATAACTGCATCAATTCCGTAGCAATCATGGTATGTGGTGCAGGGATGGTGACTGGTGAGAACCTAACAATGAGCCATGGCACATGGTAGATGCAGCAACATATGGCATTTTCCTTGGTGAAAAGGACAAAGAAAAGAAAGTAGATCATAATAGTCTAATAGATATATTCTAGAGTGAGAAATATTTAGCTAGTAGTGCAACGCCAAACAGGACAACAACTTGACTTGATAAACAAAAGGCATTGTCTTCCATAATTGATCCACAACAAACAAATAAAAAGTCAACAAACAAAAGCAAACATTATAATTTACTAATTTAGTATTCAAGCAAAAACAAAAGAAAAGAAAAATAATGCCTAATGGGAGACTAAGTAAGACATGTCAATCAGGAAAAAAAGACTCGCTTCTATGGAACAGATTGTGTGAAATAAACTGAAGAGAGACCCACAAAAAAGTTTACCTAAAAATATGTGGGTTGTTGACATTGTTTAATAAGAAGGGGTAGACATTGAGAACTTACAAGTGATAGACACTGAATACTCGGTTAGAACTTCTATTTCTTTTCTGTTATTGTCTAATTAAAGGATTTATTGGATCACCGTGCAATTAAATTAATTACCTTTATGGTTTAGATTTTAGTTTCATCACCAAAAGGCCAAACTTCAAAGTAATGCCTTTGCACCCAGGCTCTATGGTGTGTGCCATTTCCCCTGCTACACCCCTTCAGATGCATCAAGGCGTGTACCGTAAGTCCATGACAACAATGATCATTTCAAAATTGTTAAAGCAATAACATACTCCTTGCTCTGATGCAACAATAAACAGATCACCAATGCGAAATTTTATAGCTTTAAGAAAGTGAGCGAGTGTCCATACCATCAAGTGACCAGTGGTTGACAAGGAATAGAATGGAAGATAACATGTCACATAAATTATCAACTGAACAAGCTTGAAAAGGAAATGAGGATGGAAGCAACATCCGTTACATGTATTCATCTGCTACATGCATACATCCATTGCTGATGAACAAAATCAGAGGGTTGTACAAATATTAAGCTTTAAGACAAGTTAATCATATAGGTGACTGATGGTTTTCAAATAAGGCAGATAAGAACTTCAATTTTATACGGTTCAAAGGCGTCTGGAATGGAGAACGAGAAGAGGTGTGATGCATATAATATATACTAACTTGGTCTGCCACATAAACTCAAGCTCCTCCAAGATGAAAATTTAGCAATTATTCAGATAATCCATCTAGAATTTTCAAGTTACATAAGTCTACTGTGTAAACTCAAGCTCCTCTAGCATGAAATTATTATTGTTTCAGAACCACAACAAATTTGTTATGTTGGCATATTCACACACGAAATAACAAGCCATCTAATTTGATAGCCAAATCACAGATCTTGTATTATCACCAACTACAAGTGATCATCCCACATGCATGCAATGTGATAAAGGACCACTGCACTTCACCTCGCCTATTACGGAAAATCCATAGCAACCAAGTAAATATCAAAGCCCTAACACAAAAGATGGTAGCACCATGTATAGAAGTCTATAAAAACACTAAATGAGGCATATCGTATTCAACAGCAGTACTTTTTAGATGAACCCCATAATATATAATATTTATCACAATAAAGAGTTAACATTTACATAGTGCGGTCCTTTTTGGCTAATTTAATCTAGTGCAGTCCTTTTTGGCTCAATTTAATCTAGTGCAGTCCTTTTTGGCTCAATCTAATCTAGTGTGCTAGACCAGAACCTAACAATTGTTTAAAAAAAATCAAAATTAGATGACTTCTATGCTTAAGAGAAGTAAATCGGTGACAGGTATAAGTGTGCATGGTGCATCCTTATATAAGAACCAACATGCAACATCTAAGATATAGCGTAAAAAAAAACTTCTAGCAGCCAGATCTGTTGGAAATTGTAAATCTGTTATTTGGTATAATGCAATTGGTATGACAGGTAAGAACAGTTGATGAGAAAGCTGAATGGAGTAAACTTGAATCAACTTAAGACCATGGAAGTTAATGTTTTGGATCTATAAGAGGAGATCAAGCAGCATAACAAACCAAAACATGAATGAAAAAAGATAAAGTGTATGCCGCTACAACTATATACACTGTGATGCAAAAGCAGTTGCCAACTCCTGATCTGACAAAATGATGCAAAATCTTCCCTTAATCTTCCAGCAACACTAACCCAACCCACTCCATCTGAAACACGAACATAGGAAAGTGTCTTCACAAATCATTGATGCAATTAATACAGAAAACATGTTCTAGTCCCTTATTTCTTTTGCAATTCAAGACTGAGATATTATCTTGATGCTGAAGGAAGATGTTCCATATCCATTAGTTAAATGGTCCAAAACGCATCTCCCTGGATAACTGTCACCTCGTTCAAAACACCCTTCCCTGACCTCTACATAATTTTCCTTCCAAAGTTTTCTTTCATATTCCCTTGGTTTGACATACCAAATCTTCCCACCGCATAGTAGGATTTAATATCCACCCCAACACAGACGATCAAATCATGGAAAAACTCATACACGGAATTCAAAATATATGCGGTCCTCTCAGGGTAAAAAAATCTTGTAAATCCGTAACAAAACCCTAAATCATTAAGCTATAAAACTCAGAAAAGACAAATTGAATAGAACATAATTAATTACCAGATTATAAAGCAAGGGAAAAGGAGAAGAAACAAAACCTGTAAAGTTCTTCGAAACTAAGGCCACTGGCGTTATGATTATAAATCTCGTGAATCGCATGCTCCAATATCTTCCAAGTCTTCTCAGCATACTTGGGATCGACCACCACCCGATGCTTAAACGCCTCTATCTGGAAATTCCTCTTCTTCTGTGAACTCATCCTCCTCTTAATCCAATCCCCAACCACTCGATATTCGATCGATATTTCAAAAACCTAGCTGTATCCTCCCAAAATCTACGCTATGAGACGTAGGCAAATTTAGGGTTCGGGAAATCTGGATGATCGAGGGAGTTTTTGGGGATGGAATGGATCAGTAAATAAATAATATATATCAAAATCTTTGAGAGATTGAATATGAGTATAAATGTAAAAGCATCACCAAGCTCAAGTTGAGAAGCGAAGGCGAGAAGGCATCGATCGATGAGGTTTGTTTGGAAAATCCTCTGCGTTCACGTTTTACGGACCCCTGAAAACATTTGCTACCGCCAGACCCGATACACGAGTACTTTGTGCTTTGTTTCTTGTACCCCCACCGACTTTACTCCCTTCCTTTTTACTTTTTCTAGGTCATTCTACCTATTCCATTTACTCTCCCTCTTTACGATTTCACCCTTCACATGTATAGGATGGTGATTTGTCCGAACCGCCGGGGAACCCAGTTTATCCGATCCGAACGGAAATGGAGATTCATCGTTAAAACGGGTCCCGAAACCGGGGTCGGTGATCTCCGATAGACTCAAACTGGAGCCGGGATCTCCAGTAGAATCAAACTAAATGATACTATTTATGGGGTTTGACAGGGGTTTTACCGGGTTTTGAGCGAGGATTGCTAGAGATTGACCGGGGACGGAATGATAATTCCCGTACCCGTCGGGGACCGAGTCCCGGGCCGGGGGACGTTACTATGAACCGGGGCTGGGGCCGGGGATTACAAATGTATTAAACAAAAAGAAGGGGGAAACAAATGAGAGTCTGAAGGAACCGCAAGACGTAGACCCAAAAAGAAACCAACAAGCGAAAAAACCTCCGAAAAGGACAACGACATCAAATAAAGATACATATCTTTCGGAGCACACTAGAGCTCCAAAGAGTAGGCATGGCAGTCCCAGGAACCTGCAGAATTTATCTTCGATCAAAAGTCTTAAGCCTGCGACCAAAAACACTCCATCCTTTCCAAGCCACCAAACACAACGATCCCGAACATTAGATGTAATAGAAACACTACTAAACAGCGACTTCAATTCATCCAAGTCACCACGCGCTCTCCCTTGAGGGGTCCTGGACCACTCCCACACCCCAGTCCCATGGTCTAGCAGATTAGCTATGCGACTACAATCCATGGCCTGGCAGATTAGCTATGCGACTACAATCCATGGCCTCCTTATTCGAATTTGACCCCCCCCCCCCGGTGCAGATGCTTTATTTATCACGGGGTAAAGATGAATACTGTATGGTAGCCGTGGGAATAAAAATTAATTTCGGTTTATCGAAGACTTCGGATCCTGCATTGGTTTAACCTCTCGCTCAGAATTAACCCGCCACCGACACGCCTATTTGTTCCCCCAGTCTCGGAAAACAACTATTCCAAAGAACCGGTTTCAAGCTTCTATTTCTTCTGTTAAAGGAGGTTCGAGAAAAGATGGAATAAGAAGACGTGTTTCCAAAACGAACAAGATAGGCAAGCAGGTAAACTATATTGTTCCCAGAGGCATCTAGCAGCACTCTAAGACCCTCTTTCCACACTTGCATTATCATGCCCGGAACCCTTGCGACAAGAACATAAACAGTCTCTAGAAAGAGGGGAGTGGGGCAGGAGCAGAAACGTCTCACGCTCTCAAGGGATTTAATAACACGAGTCGGCCCTCAGAAAAGGAAGAAAAAAAATACTTAGGCAGGCTACCTAGAAGGATTTTATTAGCGTTAATCCTCTTCCCAGGAGATAGACATCGAAGTTTTCCACTACAAAGTTCGGATTTTCAAGCGATCAATGATGTTCCAAGAATCGATTTTGTTCATGTCCTTCCCCACCGGGAGGCTGAGAAAAGAGAACGAAAGAGCCCCCGAAAGACATCCAAAGGTATTAGCCATGTACGAGACCTCGTGATCCGCTACTCCCACCCCAAACAAGCTACTTTTGGCGACATTTATCTAAAGGCCTAGAGCCATTTCAAAGCATTTTCGGATACCCGTTAAGTTTCCAATGTCGGAGATGTCCCAATCTCCTAATAAGATAGAGCAAGTTAAATAATTTGATCCTTTACGTATTATATATATATATATATATATATATACTAGAAGAGTACTCGCGCAATGCAGCGAGATACATCATGTTTTTAATATTTCATTTTATTCTTTATCTCAGTCGATGTTATAATATGACTTTATGTGATTTTGAGAAAGCGATGATGTTTTTATTTTTGAATAAAATAT